CTTTACTCATTTGTTACCTGCCAAGTTGTACAGGAATATGAATTTGTGACCCCTGACTTACACTTTCTTCAGATAACACCAGCCAATCCTATTGAAATACCATAAATTTTTTTTTGAAAATAAGTGTGACACAGAGGAAGGAAAGAGCAATTTATTTATTTTTTATTATTTTTAAAGATTTATTTATTTATACAAGCACTGGGGTACAGGCCAGAGGTGTGGGAGGGTGAGAGAATCCACCAGAGACAGAGCAGGGAGCAGACCAGGCAGAAGGACCGAAATATACTGCTGAGGGGAGCAGCAGTCAAGACAGGAGAGGTCTGTCGCACCATGTGGATATCTCCCTGACCTGGCGGGAATCAAATCGGCACCACAGAGACTGCGGACAGCTTCACAGCACTGTGCTCAACCTGCTGCACCACCGGGGAGGTCTGAAATACCGCAAGATTTTAAATTTCTTCTCTTGTTTAACAAATACTGAGTGCCCAAATCTGGAACTACTGTACCAGACACTAAGGAAACAGCATTGAATTTTAAAAAAGTCACCCTACTTTCAAAGAACTTATCCTCTAGGAAGGTGAGACACACAAAGAGTAAAAATGTAAAACCAATTAATATGAAAAAAAATGAAAAGAGAACAAGGGGATAGAGAAGACTATTTTGAATAGGGTCGTCGGGGAAGGTCTCTCTGAGGTGATACTTGAACCTGAATGAAATTAAAAAGGAAGGGTTCCCCAGAGAGAGGGAACAGTAGGTGCAAAAATCGTGGAGCTTGTTTGTCTTGTTGAATAGGCCTCTATGTGACTGTAGCCCAATGAGTGAGATGAAATGGAGCAGCGCATCTGAGGAAATAGCAGGAGCCAATATAAGTAGGACTTGTTACGCTCTGGTGAAGGTCATGGAAAGCCACTAGAATGTTTTGAACAGTGCCTGTTTCATTTAAGTGGCAAAGAACCCCCAAATTTAAAGGCATTACTTATACAGTTGCTTTTAATTGTTTTCATATTATGGTAAATATGCATAATGTAAAATTTACCATTGTAACCATTTTTAAGTGTATAGTTTGGTAACATAAATACTAACTCCCCACTTCCCCCAAGCGCCTTGCAACCACCATTCTACTTTCTGTCTCTGATTTGACTACTTTCCATACTTCGTATAGGGAGAATCATGTATTTGTCTCTTTATGATTTACCTATTTCACTTTGCATAATGTCTTTAGAGGTTCATTGATGGTGTAGCATGTGTCAGAATATATACATACAATGTATGTATATATAACATTTTGTTTATCTGTTCATGTGTAGATACATTGTGTGAATGTCTACCTTTTGACTATTATGAATAATAACAGGCACATGGTTGTCTGTAATATTATTCTGTATACTTTAGCATTACATAGTAATATTACTGTGAATGAGTACTATATACTTTCATGTATTTATTTCTATATGTTCGATTCACTGCTTTTGATTCTTTTGGTGCCATTCAGTTTTGGAGACACAGAGATAGAGATGAGGAGAAGCACTCTGGAGCCTGAATAGTGATAATTAAGAAAGCAAACATTTAGTGTTGTACTTTGTGGTTAGTATTGAATCTTGAATGACAGAGGCACTTGTGTTCTTTAATATAGTTATATTATGTGTGTGTGTTTGTGTGTGTGTGTGAAAGAGAGAGAGAGAGAGAGAGAGAGAGAGAGAGAGACTGAGATTTGTGCCAGGGTAGGACCCTCTGGCTGGACTGAGGGTGGCATTAATATCATAAGTATACAACTTGTATATAAATGGTATTAGACTGAGTTAGCATAGCTATGAGTATACCTAGAATAGAGGTTGAAGGGTTGTATCAAGGGCATTTAGAAACCAGAAAGTAAAGGGAGAACAAGAAGAGAAACCAAGAAGAAATACCAGAAGAATGTGGCTATTTGGAGACCAAGTGAAATCAATGTTGGGGAATGATCAACAGTGCCAAATACTACTAAGAGAATGGATAAACTAGGACAGAGAACTCACCATTTGACACAGCAAAAGAGGTAACTGGTGATGTTAAAAGGAGCGATGGGAATGAAAACCTAACTGAAATGAGTTTGAGAAAGAAGAAAGTAAATGGAGACAGCCAATTTGTCAAGCTCTTTACAGGTGTAGCTCTTCCTACAGTATAAAAGAGAATAAGGAAGTGGTTCTGATTTAGAGGAGGATATTGTGAAGTCAAGGGAGTTTTTTTTTTAGTTTAATAATAAGGGATGAAATCACTAATGGTACTAGGTCTCTAGCCCTCCCCTCTTATATATCCAAGTGCCTACCCAAGACATTTGGATGTTTCACAGGAAAAGAAAATGTAAACTATCCCAAACAGAAATCTTGGTTCCCCCTCCCTCTTTCCCCAATCTGTTCTTTCCTAAGTTTTTGTTTTTCTTGGTAAGCATCATTGCCAACCATTTAAACCAAAAATCATGTAGCCATTCCAGATTGCTCCCTTCTCCTAACTCCTCACAACCACCTCATCAGCTTGTTTGTTCTACTTCCAAAATATATCTTTAACCTTGATTATTTGGATTACTGTAATAGATTCTCAATTTTCATTCCTGTCCCCCAGCACTTACTCTACAAATGGAAGCAAGAGTATAAATTAGATACCAGACCACTTAATGCTTCCCATCAGTTACCTGTTAACACTTTCAATCCATACCACATACTTTGACCTACAAGGTCTTATATGATTTTGTGTTTTTTTCCTTCTCCAACATCATCTCCACTACTCTTTTTTACCATACTTCAGACATACTAGCCTTCTTTTCCTTTTTAAAAACCTATTTTTGTTGCAAATATTTTTTAAAAAAGGACACAGAATAATATTACATACAACAGTGTGCCCACTCCCCAGATCTAACACATTACATTTACATTTTAATGGACAAATATGACTAAGTGTTACATTAAAATGTAAACTACATGCTCTCCTCTGACACTCTACTGCCTGGGAAAATAGCTGAGCATGTATTAGATGTTCACTGCACCTGGTGTGACTAATTGAATGAATATTTACTCAGATTATAAAAAACTGTAAATACAGTGAATGCTTCTTACACCTTTCTCCTTCTGTCTTTCCACGGGAACTTCCATTCTAAAGGTGATATATGCCCTATGAGGCTCCTTGTTTAATATTTATTTTAATATTTTAGCATGTGTTTTTAAAGTTTACAGTGTGGTATATTATGTACCCTTTGCAATTTCCTTTTTGCCATGCTCTATATTTCCCACATTCTGTTATATTTTTAATTTATTCACTCACTGGCTGTATAGTATGCAATATGCAATAATTTGTTTGTCCACCTCTCTTCTGTTGAACATTTTGTCATTGTAAATAGTATGCAATGAATATCAGCAACTAGTGGTTAAGAGGTCAGATTCTGGAGCTGATTAGTGGGGATTGAATTCTGGGCACTATCACTTAGTAGTTGTCACTTTGACAAGTTACTTAAATTCTGTGTGTCTCTATTTCCTGACTTGTAAAATAAGGGTAGCAATAGTAAATTTTCATGGTATTGTCAGTAGGATTAAATGAGTAAATATACATTAAAAACTTAGAAAAGTACCTGTCATATATTAAATCTCAATGACTGTAACTATTATTACTATTATTATTATGAATTACTGAGTCACAGGACATGTACATCTTCATTTTCACTAAATATTACATTCTTTTCCTATGTGGCACACCAATTTGTATTTTCACCAGTATTTAAGTTCCATTTTCCTAAATCCTAACACATGGTACTAATTTGAAGTTTCTGCCAATCTGATGAATATGAAATTATATCTCACTGTTGCTTTAATTGGCATTTTGATAGTTATGTATTAAATAGCTTGTTCATGGGTTTATTAGTCACTCAGGTTCCTTTTTCCTTTTTTTTTTTTTTTTAACTCTGTATCCTTTACTGTCCTACGGGAATTACTATTTTGCTTTGATTTTAGTAACTTTTTTGTCTATTAACACGTTGATGGTTATAGATGAATATCATCTTGTCTTTGCCATATTTTTAAACTTTTGTTATTACAGAATTTTTTCAGAATTAGCATATTTTAATGGAGTCAAATCTAACTATATTTTTCCTTACGGCTTGTGCCTTTTGGATCTTAAGAAATTCTTTTTTTTTTTTTTAAGGTTTATTTATTTATGCATACAAGAGCTGGGGAACAGGTCAGAGGTGTGGGGGGTGAGAAGATTCTCAGAGACAGAGTGGGGAGCAGAACAGGCAGATCTACTGAAATAAACTGCTGTGGGGAGCAGCAGGTGAGACAGGCGAGGTCAGTTCCCTGGCCAGGGATCGAACACCCTCAGTGGCTGGCGAGTAGCTGGACAGCGCTATGTCTTTAACCCCCGGGCCACCACGGGGCGCCCCCTCTTCCCTATTTTGATGTCATAAAGAGAGTTTATATTTTGTGAAAAATATTTTGAGACTTTATAATCTATCTGGGATTTATTTTTAGGTATAGATTGAAGTAGAAATATAACTTTCCCCTTTTGGAAAAAACTGTCTGCGCCATTTATGAAAAGTTCACTCCCTACTGACTTGCAGTGCTATCTCTGCTATAAACCAAGTTTCCGTGGAACTAGCCTTCATTTCGTCCTCACAACCTTTGCTTATATTTTCCCTCTACTTGGGATGTTTGCCTCTAGGCTCTTCTCAGGGCCACCTTTCTCCTGTTCTTCAGGCCGCAGCTTAAATGTCATCTCCCTCATATCTAGATTGCGTCTATAGTTGTATCTGGAGCCGTGACCCGACGACTGCGGAGAGTCTGGAAGGCCCGCGGTGGGCACGAGTCTCTGGACAGTCGCTGCGGACTGTTGCCCCGGAGGCTGTACGGAGGCCGCAGACAGGCCGGGGGCACCCTGAGTCCCAGTGACGGAATTCGGTGGGCGCCGGCGTCGCCAGGGAATGCGTCATCACGCGCGGGCGATCGGGGGCGGGGCCGGGCCAAGTCACGTGGCTTGGTTGCCTACGCGCTGCTGGGCCGTGGGAAGATGGCGGACGGAAAGGGAGACGCCGCCGCCGCCACCGGGGCCGGGGCAGAGGCTCCGGCCGGAGCCGGAGACGGAACCGAGACTGAGTCCATAGCTCGGGGTCATCGCCCCACATCTCCGGCGCCGGGAGCTCCGGAACTGCGACCGTGTCTGTGGCAGCTGGAGACAGAGCTGAGGGAGCAGGAGGTGTCGGAGGTCTCATCTTTGAACTACTGCCGAAGCTTCTGCCAGGTGAGGGGCTGACGGGCTGGCTGAGTGCTGCGGGGCAGGGAGGCCAGGGGAAGAGGCCCGGGGCCGTTGCCGAAGCTGAGCTATGCTGAAAGGCGCCACCCCAGTGTCTCGCCGCGCCCCGGAGCCGGGAAGGCCCAGCTCGGAAGCCCAGTCTCTGGCCCCCCTCCGCCACTGCCCGACTTTGGTCACCGTCAGGGCGGGTTGAGCTGGGCGAGACTACAAGCCCTGAGAGCGCCGGCTGCCCCTTGGAAGGGCCGTACCGTGTCGTCGCTGCCTGTACCCTGCCTGGGTGGTTGGAGCGCCATTGCCCCCTGAGAGATTGATAGCTCGTTCCTGCCAGGAGATTTTTTTCTTTCTTTTTTTTTTTTTTTTGAGTAGCGTGCAGCTCTCCGAACTGGAAAACCTGGGTTTTTCAGAATAATCCAAAGACATGTATTGGGGTCAGAGAGTTTATTTTTGAAGTGAACATCTTCTAGGCCCCTGAAAGGTATGACAGTTGGCTTTGAAAGGCGCCTAGAGCTTTCTGATAAGAGATTGCAGAGTCGATTTGTTGTTTGGTTTTTACCCTCCTCCCCCCTTTTTCCCCTTGATGTTTAAGCCGTTCTCTGCCTCTTCTATTTTCCTTTGAGAATTGTGCTACCAGGAATGAGGCTGGTGAACCTTGTATCGACTGCTAGGGTCTATGAGTACGAGACGATAGGGAAAGATGTGGAGTGTGGTCTCTAGGCAGTTGTTTGACCATTTCTGTGCCGTAGTGAGGCCTAACCTATGATTACATATTTATTGGTATATTTTGTTTCATGTCCATAAGCATTCCTAGGTTTTGCTCAGTGTTTTCGAATCCTTTATAAATGTAATGATTTGCCATTATTGTTACTACTTCAATTCACCTCACCTGGTATACTTTTGAGGATGCAAAATAATCTTAGTATGTAGGTACTTGGGCTCTTAATGAGTGTGCTGAATAAGTTGTGGTGCTCGAAAGTTATAATTTTTGTGGACAATTTGCTTTGTGGGTCCTAAGCAAATAAATTAATTTGCTTAATTGCTTTTCTCCCTGTGCTGAAGCAGAAGCACCTCATCTCTTTCAGTGGAATTTTGTCCCTTCTAATCTTTTCCATACATTGTATCACTCCGGTTTTTATGTATACAACCTGTAGTGTTTTCCCTGCACTGTGGTGTTAAGGTGTAATTGTTCTTTGTTTCCTTACTAGTAATGATCATTTTTCCTTAACTACACATACACTACAAATTTACTGATTCAATAGGATGTTACCAAGTGCTGAATAAGACCGCATTTACCTTTGATGAGCTTACGCTTGGGAGGAGGTGGTAGAAATAACTGTATTTCCAATGCAGTTTTGGTAACAATGGAAAAGGTGCAGAGACAGTAATGAGTGAACCCCCATGAGACACCCAAATGGGACACACGGTTAACTAGTAAAAGTAAATTAAAAGGTTTACTATAGATTGTAATACTGACTAGAAAGAAGAGAAGATACTTTAATAGGTGATGGAGGAAGGTGATGGCTGAAAGGATGGAAATAACATGTTAGTGTCCAGGGGTTGGTAGGAGTGCTGAGCATTCCACTGCCAAAGGTGGATGAGAGGAGAAGGGACACTGTGCTTTGGTAGGAAGGGGAGCTAATTGGACAAGCAGTAGTGAAGAGAAAGGTCAGAAAAAGTACTGTGGTTTTGGGAAAGACTTCTGAGCTTAAGTTATCGTCCAAGAAAGATAAGAATAAATGTAACCAGTCATTGAAGCTTGTCAGGGGATACCATTTTTATATCCTGCTTATGTTTAGTGCTTGCAGTTTTGATTTTATTTTAAGTGAATGTTTTAATTTCTTGAGTCTTGGTGACACCTAGTGATGTGAAGGGACAGAGGAATTTTTAAAAGGAAGTGCTTTTGTGATTTGTCTTTTCTATGAAGATTTTTTAATTTTTCCCAAAACATTTTTGGACAAATAAATGAAATAAAAGATGTTCCTCTGACTGACATGGTGCATTGTAACAGAAAGCACAGTGGTTTGGGAGTTACTTGGTTCTTAATTGTGACTCTACCACTTATTAGCTAAATTAAACCTTGGATAAACTATGACTGAAATTTTATTCTCACCTGTATTTCTTTGTCATGCTTATACAGACAGAATAGAAGGTTTATATAACTCTTCACAATACTTGTCCCAATATTTTTGTCACTTTTTTTTTTTTCCAGCAGCCTTGACAAAATCAATGTGTGTCCTTGCTCACCAGGCAGATTTTTTTTTTTTTAATTTAATGAAGAAGCAGGAAAAAAAATGCATTCGAGTTTGAAAGCTCTTGGTTTCACATTTGAAAAGCAGAATAAGATTTATTCATACACTTAAACACTGAATGCTTGTGTTTCTTGCATTGTCCTAAGTGCTAGAGATAGGAACCTGCCCTCAAGGAGCATATAATGTGTAAAGATTGGCATTAGTATTACATTAGACAGGTCTGGCCTGTGCTCTCTGGGATGCTTAACCACCACAAAAATATTTTCATTAGATACTTAGTTTAGAATTTTTTTCCTAGAGATTTAGATTGTGCCAAGTAGATTCTTACTGCTATGGATTGGGATCATCCGTATTCTTCTCTTAGTCTCCTGCAGCGCTTAAAAGAAATGGTTCTTTCTTTGGAATTGCATCAAAAGAAAAAATACCTAAAAGGATAGAGAAGCTTGTCTTATTCTGGGCATGCTTTCAATTTTCAGAAGTTTGTGAAGATAATAAAAATGAAACTTCAGAAGTAGTAGTTACTAAGAAAATGATACTTAGATGAAGTTGTATTCAGTGAACATTTTATTCATTGACTATGGGATGTGGTTTTGCTTTGTTTTCTTTCCTTTCCCTCGAGTTCCTTTTCTGAAAACATTGTCTGCCAGGCAGTGTGGATAAGATTAACTCCAGAAAACAGTTTTTCTTTGTTTTGCTGAAAAATGGGTGAGATCCTCTCAAGTGTTTGCTGTTTTGGGAACCAAAATTCCTCAATTTTACAACTACTAGTTCTATATGTAACACAGATTTTGAACACTTTTAAATTAGACTTGAAATAATTGGGTGAATGGTTATACTTTGAAAATACCAGGCAAAGTAGTTTTATGAGTAAACCTTGTTTTACTCATAATGAAGTACTTTTAGGTTCTAGACTAATGGTAGATTTTTAATGGTTAAAATGACTAAGTAATGCATCTATTTTATATTTTCCTAGAGTAGTTCAATTGATCTAAGTCAGATTGGGATACTGACTATACCATGTAAATTAGCTTTGTGACCTGGGCATGTTATTTTCTTCAAACATCGTTTTCTCATTTGCAAATGGAATAATAATGACACTTACTGTTCTTTATAGAAATACTTTGTTGTATGTATAAATAAGACAGTCTCTGTTAACAACAGCAGTGGCCCAAGTAATCCAGGTTTCTTAGCCTTGGATAAAATATGTTCACAACCTTGTACCAGTTTTTCATCTCTTACCTAGCCAAACCCATTACCCCAATTCTACTCTTACTTATTCACAGGGGTACTTCACTTGGAGTTCATGTGTGTTCAAAGTGTGATTTCAGTCACTTGTAATTAAAAATTTGCCTTTGAATTTCCAAGTGCATTACTTTAGGGAAGGTGATCTTAATTTTCCTTTGATTCTTTGAGAACCAGTGCATGTATTAAACTTTCAGTAAATATTTACCAACTGACTGATCTCCAAAAGGATAGAATTACTTTAACAAATTCTCAAGTCATCAAGTATTCTCATGTCTTTTCTTTTCATTGGCTATTCTATCCTTTTCTCTTTTTTTCATCATGGCAAATTTTCTTTCTTTAGGACAGAGCAGTGTTACCTCCAGTGAAGCTTTCTCTGATTTCTTTAGATAGATTTCCCCTTAGTTGTTTGTGTTCTTTTGACACTATGTACATACTTATGATTTCAACTCTTGGTTTTCTTGCTGTCACCATTTTAGTTCAGGTAATGCAATGTCCTAGTGTTGTAACCTCTTCACTAATCTCTTTTGCTTTGGTTGGCCTTATCTATAATCCATTTTGGTGTTATTTCTAAATTTGTAAATATAATCTTGTTATTTTATTCCCTCAAATTCTTCAAGTTTCTTGCCCCCAAAACAAGATAAACACTCAGAGTCAATAGCCTGGCATACAAAGCCTTTTTAGAATCTTGACCGCCCCCCCGCCAGTCACCCATCATCTTTCCAGACTTTTTTTTTAAGTCCACTTTACCACAGTGTGCATTTCCTCCCCATTTGCCTATTTATCCTCCTCGAATATTAAGTCTTTGAGAAGCATTTCTCATTTCAGAAGACAGAGTAAGGTGATTTTTTCACATAGCTGTATATTCTTGGAGCACCTTATACCTACATGTGGTGCCTAAATATTTGTTTCCATGTTTGTCTCTTGTATTTACTTACTCGTGAGCCAACATGAGCACCGACCTTGTTTACTCCTTTTCGGGGGGGGGGGGGGCGGGGGAGGGAGAGGAGATGCTTTGTATCTAACAATTAATACAATGCCTTTAAAGTAGTAATTTTCCATAAAAAATTGCTTAGCCAGATTTATTTATGACACTATACTGGAAAATCTGAGGATAAATAAGAAATTGAGTAAGATGGTTTAAAAAATAGATTCCTAAGAGCCTCCCTGGTGGCACAGAGGTTACAAAACTAATTTGTTCAATCAGTTGTATTGTAGGGACTTCATGATACACTTGAGATACACTTCATGATATACTTAATATAAGGTCTAGTGTATGTTGAAAAGCAATTTTACCATAAGAAATTACTATAAAGGACCAGGATAGTAGGTTTTGGTCATTTCTTAGAGATTGTTTATCACTTTAGCCTATATTCAAAATAATGTGTGCACTTACATGTATGGAATGAGGGTACGTATTAATGGAGGCATTATTGTATTGAGGAAGAGATAACAGTCTAACTGAACAACAGTTTGGAGATACTGAGATGGGAACGATCA